GTTTGTGTTTGTAGTGAATTTTCAAAACGACTTAATAGGTCGAATAACCTTTTGATTCTCAGCAGCTGTGACGTCAAGAAAACACTGCAAATGGAGGGCGGGACGCGGAGTGTAAATTATTCCATTTCCAAGTCATAAACAGAGACAGGATAACATTCACGATCAAACATGTATTCAGAGGATATATTTTTAATTAAGCCATGAAGACAAGACAGAACATTATAGGGAAAAGGGAAACTGGAGCGTTGATGAATAACAACTCTTCTAAATAACATTTAGTAACAATATTTGTTGTTGATTACGACAGCTTTTATTATTTCTAACTTTGATGAAAGCATTTTTGTATATCTTATTATGAATGGCGCTCGCTGAATATGATAGTCATGGGCAATTATCGATCAGCCTCTTTTACCTTCTGCCAAACCACTCTCGAACGTTAAAAGGATTTGATTAATGAGTCCTTACTGTTTAAACATGACCTAATTTCAAACGTGACCAAAATACTTTCGAAGACATTCACCTCTGGGAATGATCGATATTTTCATTCATGAAATTCACAAATTTGTGCAGAGGTGGGAGAGGGAGTGACGTTGAGGCATTGTTGCGTCAACAGATCTCACTTTCTCTCGTAGAGTGATCCGTGGAATGATATGGTGTTTTTATCAAAAGCCGTGGCGTATTATTAGCCGGTGTATACACGGGAATATGCGTGGGTGTGCGTGGAGGGAGTGAGTAGGGGAGGGTGAGTTGAGAATAAAGGTGAGGGTGTGCGGTGCGTGAGGTTGAGCACAATGTGTATGAGGGTGAGCATAGTGTTGTTGTAATTTGTTGAATGGAAGTACAATAAATTATATTCAAAACAAAAGAAATGTGTACATTTTTAAATCCTAAGAGTAAAACAAACCCTTGCCTATGAGGAAAAGGTTATATGAATGTCCGTAACATCGTCTCCACGTGTTTATTACACGTCACTCATAGTACAAGTAAAACTTATTTTCAGTTATAAATTTCCCTTTAAATTGAAGCTAACACCGAGAGATTATTTCATACGGAGGAAATTAATTTTGTTTATTTCCTTCCCTCTCTCTGTACCCACATTATATCCAATATCCTTTCTATCTTTATACTCTCTCTCCCCCGTCGTTATCTTTCCCTCCAATATTTCTTCTGTATCCTTCTCTCTCCCACTCTCTCTATTGCTGTTGCTCTCTTCTTTTTTTTTTTCTCTCTCTCTCTCTCTCTCTCTCCTCTCTCTCTCTCTCTCTCTCTCTCTATCTCCCTCTCCCTTCTTCCTCTGCCCTTCTTTCACTCTCTCACCCCCTAATAAACCCTGCATCGAGAGGCTGGATGACGTCACGATGTAGATGGCGCGGGGGTGCTATCATTAATGTTAAGTGGGATGGTGAAATCTCCAATCGCCTCAGATGAAACATCACAAGCTTGTTCCGAAGTAAGCTGGGCAGAGGGGTATCCAGATCTCAGGCTCAGGAGGGGCAAAACAATGTCAGCTACACCGCGATCCATATAATTTATTTATTTATTTGTTTATTTGTGATATTTAAACAGGGTGACTAATAATCACAAATAATGGTTGTCTTCCACGAGGCCCTGTTAAACATAATAAAAACAATAGTAAAACAAATAAAAATGATAATAATAGTGAGGGAACCACTTTTCAAGGGCCACAGTTTTTTGCGTTACAATAAGGTATTGTCCAAAGTGACCTTTTGAGGGGAGAGGGGGGGGGGGGGAGCAGCAAAGGTCCGTATTTCACTAAATCAGTTAACCCCATCCCTGATGTTACAATATGTAGATCACAATTAAGAAATGAAACTTTATTATTTTACTGAGACCGAATTAAACAAAAATTTTCAGCCAAGCGCCTGATAAAAATTATGTAGAAATTATCAGAAATCTGCAAGGAGGGGTACATTGCCTCCCCCTCCTCTCAGGGGCGGATCTAGGGGGGGGGGGGGTTGGCGGTTTACCTTCCCCTCCCCTGGGCGGCAAAGTGAGAAAAAGGGGGGGGGGGGAGAAAAAGAAAAACAAGTATTAAAAAAAAGTAAAACAATAAAACGGCGCGATTTTTGAAAAATCCTGGATCCGCCACTGAATCAACCCCCCCCTGGCTAAAAGCTAGATCCGCCCCTGCCTCTTGCTTCTACTTCAAATACGCTAGTGAAGCTGAGATGGAATATATCGAGGTGTCATCCATTCACTTAAAGGTAATCAGTCCAAAGTGTTCAAGAAAACAAACAACGAGTGGAAATATTTCTCAAGAGAGAAAAAAATAGAATTAATATATAATTAATTGCGACGAATTTCTGACCGCCTTACGTTTTCTGTGTACTATAGCCGCGGTTGGAAGGAAAACACAAGAAACTAAATAAAGCACAGAAGGGGGGGGGGGGGTCTTACTAAATCTGATTAACATGTGCTGCGCCTAGAAACAAAGTATTAGTAGCATTATAAATGTGAGCTGTTATTATTATTATTATTAAGTACGTTCAAATTAGGCATTAATATATGTCCTATTTATCTCCTTCAACATTAGATGCATGTGTAATTCAATTATATTAATGATGAATTTTGTTCTATTAAACACTAAATAAACACTGAATATTTCAGATTCTTTTTTTGTTCTTCTTTTTTTATTCGAGGGTGTTTGTACAGTCGTGTCCGGTCAGCCTTTTCCTCAAAAATGTCATGTTAATCCCTTATTACCTGAGGTATACCCGCCTTCGCGATCGAGAGAAATGCCACCTCTACAAAGAGAACATTTTTATTTAGTTTTTATTTTCCTATTCGAAGTGGGCGAATTAAAGCCACAGATTTGAATATATAACGGATTTTATACCCATTTGACCTTTCATACCCATATAACGTTACATATAAAAAATATCGGCATTACCAATTCTGCCGGTGGAAACAAAATTTAGAGATTTTATTTCCTGTAAATCTCTTGATAAAAATAGAGAAATAAAAATCTCTAGAGAGCTCTTGAAATGTTCCTATAAATGAACTGTTTATACTCCTTGAGGGAAAGTTTAGCATCATTGTTTTTCATTATCTGGCATTTCAGAACAATTTAAAGCATTTTTTTTTTGATTTTTGATTTATTTATGACGTTTGATCAATGCACATGTAATTATGAACGAAATGGTGCATTTGGTCACCTTATTATTCCGAGGCCTCTTCAACAAAACGCCAAAGATACGCTCAATTATTTCTTCACAACGAGAATCCAGGCTAGTCATAATGTATTTTGGTCTGAGAATGTTTCAGGACCCCACTTGTTCTGAAGCATTCTATTAACATGACCAATTAATTTTAACGCTGCTCCGGATAGAGAAAAACTTGAAAACATGGTAAACTGGTTGCTGTTATTTTGAGCCAACAAGAGACAATGGTATGTAACTTACCCCAGCTCAGCACATGCTCACAAAATAATTGCCTTCTTTGATACCTCCACATTACCTTTCTTTTCCTGGTGATGCACGTCTGACACGTAACCAGGTGGTCAGCTCTGGTGAAGCAGCATACCACTGTTTGTTAGCTCATTAATGATTGACAGATGATGTCACAAGATGAATGAGATATGGAGAATTTTTTTTTAGGGTTGAGCTTAGCAGGTCTGCGAAAATATGTAAAAACCTATGAAATATATTTATTTAAATGTTTAAATAACAAAATATGAGTTGTATGCAGCCCTGCACATCACCCGGCACATCAACATGAATCAACTGATATTTGGATGTCATCACCCGACCTTTGATAATCCAAAAGTTTGTTGAGGTTTACCAGACAAAGCAACAATCACTGTGAAAATGACGGACAAAGAAAGATGACAAAATATACAGTTCCTCATTCTACCCTCAAGAATTGCTGTTAGACAAAGGAACATCCCTTCACTGCTATTATGTAAAATAAGTAGAACAGGTGAATATGCATGTGACACCTGTTCTACACATTTTTACATAATAGCAGTGAAGGGATGTTCCTTTGTCTATCACAGCAATTGTTGAGGGTAGAATGAGGAACTGTGTATTTTGTCCTCTTTTTTGTCCGTCATGTTCACGGTAAATTACTGTTGCAAACTGGATTCCATTTTATACACAAATGTCATTGTGTAAAACAGGTGCATTTAAAGGCTTGACCCGAGGTATCCTGGATGCCTTCGAACTATTCATCAATAGACATGTTTAGTAATGTATTCCAGGGGGGGTGTTTCACAAAGACTAAGAGCGACTTTAAGTTGGACTTAACTATGGCAGGCCATTCATGCCACTTTTTTTCTCATCATTTACTGGCATTGGTCTCTGAAGGGACGTGTAAATCGTGGTCACATATCTACAGAATTTGCATTTTTTGATAGTTCATTATTAAAGGAAAACAATTTATCTAAAGATCATAATTGAGAGACCAATATCGAGAGCAACCAGTGGCATGAACAGCCTGCCATAGTTAAGTCCAACTAAGAGTCGATCTTTGTCTTTGTCAGTGAAACACTCCCCTGTTTAATGTATTCCAGGGCATGCATGTTTCTTTCCCTAACTTCTGGGGCCAGTTTCTCGAAACCGTCATTAGTCTTACTTCTTGGACATCCTATTGAAACGTGTGTTATGAAATTAACACGCGTTTCTATGGGATGTCCACGAACTTAGAGTTATGACGATTTAGAGAAAACGGCCCTTGGTTACCAGCCATTACATTCACCTGCTACGAATAATGGCATCTCTATCGATGGAATCCACTTTGTATACATTAGTTATTGCTAGATCGGGTAAACCAGAGCCATTTATACACAGAGTTTGGCACACCCGGTTCGAGTTGGACACAATATGGCGACTACTGCTTTGTTGGGCAAGCACAAAACAAAATAACATCCGCCATGTTGTGACCCAGTGAAACCAAGTTGGCCAAACTCTGTGTATAGATGGCTCTGGGTAAACCTCTAATGAGGTTTTCAGTTGTAAAGAGAAACATTTGTTACACAGCAGGTCGATTAAAATGGTTTGTAAACGGGTCTATTACATCGCGACTGGCGATATGGGTGGCCATTGGAGAGAGTTTTGATCATGAGGAAGTCAGATATAATTTAAACGATCACAACCATGATGACGGCGATCTGTCGAATTACGGAATAAAGTCTTGAGAACGTCGTGCGTCTTCGCTGGAACTGACACGTCTGGATACAAATACTTCACTGATATTAGCACTGTAAGTTTATTGAAGTTATCACTTTATTTGTCTACATATCACCATTATAGACTGATATATAGATTCATATAATTATAAAAATAACAAAGCTGAAGTTTGATTGGCCCTAATCTCTTTTTATGTTGTCGATATTTTTCTTGATAATGAAAAAAACTAGTCATTACTTCTTTGAACCGTAATTCCATATTGATATTCAGTGAGTTATAAACTGGAAATTCTGCGATTTCTGTACTGCTGCTGTTTCTCAAGATTCAATTTTTGATGTTCGACTTCCGTTTCGGCTTAACTTTAGAATACCCCACCAATAGGGTTAATGTACAAATATATATCAAAGGCCTAGGGTTAGGATTAGGTTTAGTGTTACTAAAGAAAGTTAAGTCTTCGGATTTAGCTTCATTGGTGAAGCGTCTGGCACCCTACGAACGTTTGGTCAATTTTAGTGGTGGGGTATTCTAAAGTTGCTCCTCCGTTTCTTATATCGCTTTTTTATTCACAGATGAAAATGACATATCACGTGTTTTCCTTTCACATTTCAACCTTAAAAAGTGGATTTGAAAAATACTGTCAATCAAATACCGTAAAACTCTTCCTTTGTTGACAAGAAAAACATGTTGACAAGGAATCCAAACGCGAATTGAAATCGGTTGAAAGCGGGAAAAAGAGAAATTACAATAGAGATGAAAAGAGATGATAGAGATGGTAAACGATTGCACCAACTATTTCTCGGCGGGCCTTCAAACGAGGCAATATTTTTGTTAGATTTGCCCATCTCTAGCCACTTCATGCTGGTGATTTGACGAGATTAGAAATGACACATGCACCCGCTATTTACTGACCGACAGGGGCGTAGCCAAGGGGCACTGGGAAGTGTGCCCCCCCCCCATCGAGTAGCAGGAAGGGGGAAGGACCAAAGAGATGGAGGGAAAGTGAGAGTGGGAGAGAGAGAGTGAGAAAGGGGCGGGGGGGGGGTCTTTTGGGCCATTTCTTCAGAGTTAAAAATAGTCTTATAAATTATATATATTATGTATTTAATACGAAAATATCTATATATATACCGCATATATTTGTGACTATGTTTTTGTTGCACTACTTTTCATCTACGTGACTGTAGGGTATTTTATTGTAGGGTAGGGTAGGATGGGAGGGAGAGGTTGGAGCAACGATGGCAAAAGCTGATCCTACACTCCTTTACTCTCCCCCCTTACGTGAAGACTTTGCCCTCTTGCGTTTTAACCAGGTAAAAGGACATGTGCCACTCAGGACCCCAATGCCCCCTCCATGGCCAGACCCCGTGCTACGCCCCAAGACACGTTTAAACACCGGCTATTTTCTTGCCCATGCCGCTAGCCGGCATCTTGGCGAAAATTGAACAGATAACACCGGTCCCCGCCTTCTTTTAATGGAGAAACCCTTTTTTGACAGATATGAAGATTGTTTGAGAAGCAGTTTGTCACAAATGCATATTGTTTCTGATATCTATTTCCGCCAAAATGTCATGATTATCCCACGCATATACTGCTGAGTGAGCCTGGTTTTACTAATGGTTTATCCCATGGGGGGAGTTTCCTTTTCTCAATAGGAAGAACAGGTTTACCAAGTATAGGGAATCCTTAATATAATTCGATGTCATAAATATTACTTCATTTCATGTTTGTCTTGTTTAAGCTCTTGGAGGGCTATCAAATTAATACCACAATCAGATATACTAAAACCTGAGATGTGGTTGGTAACATACTTGTATGAGACAAAAAGGGCGTTGACCTGCTGAAATTCATACAAAATATTTAATATCATTGAGAAAATAAAGGATTCAAATCAACTATCAATAGTTAACGTCGATTGCCATAAAATAAGGACTATACTATTAAAAAAGAATAAGAATAAAAAAGGACTTTAAATAATATTATGTAAAACCAGTTGACAAAGGGATATGAGCAAAAAAGTAGTTTCGGGGAGAACTGAGAATAAAGGGGTTTTAGGGTGGGAATACAAAGGATACACATTGCTATATCTTATTGTATAGATCTATGTAGGTTTAGGCAGATATAGATGACAGTTTTATGGCATGTATGACGCACTTGCAGATTGAGTGAGAAACGTAATGCTCGTGAAAGATAACTACATCCTTTATTTGCGAGATATTTTCAAATTGTTAAGTGGTGAGTGGAAAATGTTATTTCATGCTTTCGACCTAATGTATGGCATATCATAATGGCATTTCATTGTTTTTGTGGTTGCCTGTCAGGTCGGCAGTTCAAGGAAAAAAATTGAGAAAATGTTTCGGGATATTTTTTAAAAGGAAATATTGATAAAGATATATAAAACGTTACTTCAATGCAATTGTAGTTAATAATTCTAAATTTTCTTTGACAATTTTTCAAAAAAATGAAAATATTTCGATGTGCTTTTTAAGCAGCGTCAACATGTATTTCTCGCCCAATTTCTGACATCAAGATAAATATTCAATATTCCATCTTAACACTTAAAACCTTGATAAAATAAAGCGAACCTTGTAATCTAAATGAGAAGTACATTTTTATCTCTGAAATATATGGCAATTAAAAGAACTTTTGAATATTTAGTACCCTCTACAATATAAGAACCGATATGTTTTTGTCGTTTAACATAGGGTCGACATTCAAAACACCAAGATATATCTACTCTCATTTAGTATTCGATGTATAAAGTGTAAACAGAAAAATGCATTATAATGCCAATTTCTCATAGTTTCTGATTCACTAACATCTGTTTTGCTATTTATTCGAGCTATCTATTTCATGTATTTTAGATACCAGTTTAAAGACTAATGATGATATTACAGTTTGAGTCATCTTCATGATTTCAAATGATTTCTTCATCATCCAAACATGAAGTATAATGGTGATAGAGGAAGTGAAAAAATCGAGAGACCGGGAAAAGTCCAGAATAAAAGAAGTGCCTGCTGCGAAAACCACATTGCAGGATATCTTAAACTTCCTCGGCCCCATTAGGGGAAATATTATCGCACACTTGGCGAGCAGCTTACCTATCTAATCGTCATGACACTTATATAATGACCGCAGATCAGAGATCCCATTGGCAAATTGCCCTATTTGTCCAGCCATTTGTCACGCAGCGGGTCACCCATCCACAACCCGTTAGATCGCGCCGCCTCGGCCCGCTACGCGCAGCAGCGAGCTGTGTTACGCACAGCAAGTCGTCCTGTTCGCGCTGTTGTTGTTTTTCTCCACGTTTTTCCACCCGTAGCTTCATCAGCTTCCTTTCTATTAGAATGCGACAATAAGACCCTAATTCTCAGCCCTTTTCATTCGATTTCCAAACTACATGCACGTTTCCTTTTTTACTTGAGGACGAATTTGTACAGTCTGGAGGCCGAAAAACACTTGCGATATTTCTAATATTATATTCACTTCATTACCTTTCTTTTGTTTTCATGTAAAATCTAACCGGTCTACAATTATTTTGCAACTAAAGATCATCGGAAATCCGGACATGACGTAACAAAGCTAGGAACGTCTTAAATCAGTCCTATTATGCAAGACTAGCGCAGGAGTCCAGACGTGCCAAGTCAAGTTCACCAGACGATTCTGTCACGTGATGCGATCATTCGACCAATCAGACGGCAGAACCGCTACCGGTGTTTAAACCGATCCGCTATTGTTTTTGTACGTACCGCTTCCTGCGTGCTCTGCGCGAGATCTGCGTATCGCACGGTCGTGAAGTCAGCACGCACGCACCAAAATAGCCACGCTTTTATTTTCCCTCCGGTCCCAGCAATTAACTTTCACTGTAGTATTTCGGCAGAACTCAAAGCCGGCGCGCAGAGCTAAAGGTCATACGACCAGGGGACCCCCATCATGCCGAAATTGCAGTGCCTACTGTGTCCTAATGGTTCCCTGTTTGTTTTTTTGGTGAAGGGAGGGGCGAAAATAAGAAAAGACGGATGTGTTTTGAGACTGATAGCTCTGCAGTTTAGGGGGAAAAAGGTCTTGGGAGCGACCAGGTAGGGAAAACGTGAACTTGAGCAGAGAGATTTGAACAAGTACAACCTTGATACGATAACTGCAGACAAAGGACAACTGGTTCGTTAGTGACCGCAAACTTCCTATTTTCAGAGCTTGGCAATTAATGAGCTTCATACGTTCTTTATTGGTTTAATAAAAGGTAGAATGAGAATTGAAATAGAAGAAATTATTAATGGAGACAAAGATTGCATTGACTTTTGGCTAAAAATGATATAAATGCAGGCGCGGATCCAGGATTTTCCAATAGGGGGGGCCGGAAATTTGAAAATTGCGCAGACCGTTTTTCAACTCAACATACCAATACTGACAAGGTCATATTAGAAGCACCATACCTGTAATTTTTTTTGACATTTTCATCGGGGGGGGGGGGGGCTGAAGCCTCTTGCCCGAAAAAGTAATTTTCTGGTTTCACAATTCGGCTAGTGAGCGAAGCGACCGAGCAAAAATTTGAGGATAATATGTATTTTGTGAAAGTGTTATTTATCACCAAAATATACGAGAAAAGATATAACAAATTCATATTCGGGCAGCTCGCTGTCCCCTCCTCCCCCCCCCCTCATTATGCGCGAAGCGCAGAAGCTTTAATGTTCATGAAATCATTAGAGAAAGAAGAGGATTCGTTGTACTGTTCTCGGTTGTTAATCATTGTCTGAATTCAGTTTCCATACCCCCTCCTGTGCGAAGCGCGGAAGCTTTGACGTTTCATTAAATTATTAGAGAAAGAAGACGATTCGTTGTACCGTTCTCGGTTGTTAATTATTGTCTGAATTCAGTTTCCATACCCCCTCCCGTGCGAAGCGCGGAAACTTTGACGTTTCATTAAGTCATTATAGAAAGAGTACCGTTCTCGACTCTTAATCCTTGTATGAATTGAGTCCCCCCTTCCCTCACCGCGCGAAGCGCGGAAGCTTTGACGTGTCATTAAATTATTAGAGAAAGAAGACGATTCGTTGTACCGTTCTCGATTCTTAATCA